GCTAGAGGGGTCTGAAGCGCTAAGTTGGCAACACAATTTTTCCACTAAGTCAGACTTGGCACCGTTAAGTGAAAATTAAACATATCACCAGAATGATTGACAGTTAGGAGGACCACTGATTTAGATGATCCACCTGGGCGGGTCTTTAAAAAGATTCATGAAAATCCTCCACCTTACCTATAATCTTAAATACTAAATATTTATATATATCTATTTTTTATAGTTTTGATATAATTCCTGCTCTAAGTGGGTCGCTCTGTCAGCTGAAGGCTTATTTTATGGTCTCTATTGTCCATTTAACGATTAATCGATTACTAAATTAGTTGACGATTATTACAATAATCAGTTAATCAGGATGAATTGTTTTAGCCCTAATAAAATTTGAAAATGTAAAATCTGAAATAATAAGGAAAATTGGAAAATATAGAACAATTTAGACATTTTGAAAAAAAATTAAGCAAAGATAAATTTGAAATGATAAAATATAAAACAAACAATATCTAAGTAAACAGCCTAGTTGTTTTCTTTAATTACGAAATGTAGCCTTACAAATAATTTAAAATGATAAAAATGTCAATGATATCATTTTTTATTCCAGTAGAGATGTCCCGATCTACTGAAATTGGTTGGATATCAGCCATAAATTGAGAGTTGTAATATATGGGCCTATAAGGATGCTGATAGAAACACTCCTTTTCTGTTTGAAATGTTTATAAGCCGTTGATTAAACGGTTGGTTCTGCCTTTACGTAACAGAGGGTGATATATATTTTTAAAACCTTCTGAATTAAAAACAAAATGGTACATCAAATTTTAGCTATATATATATATATATATATAAATACTGACTGATAAATACTGACTATATATAAATACTGACTGATAAATACTGACTATATATAAATACTGACTGATAAATACTGACTATATATAAATACTGATTGAAAAAAAACGGAATAAATAATAATAAATGTTTTCTTACCTTTAAGTTTTCGTTATATTTTTAATTTAATCCTGAAAAAGTCCACCACTCATTCAATCATTTTAAACAATAAAACAAACATTTTTGGGCTAGTTATTTACCAGCTTTGCACCCAGGCTCTGAACATTTATTTTTTTCTGGGCTTTCCAGAAATATACGTCTTCAAAGTTCTACAGAAGCTAAAACCTCCAAGAATGGGTCCATTAATGGAC